ATTAGCAAAATACTTTTTGTTGAACAAATTACCATTGCTGATAATACCAAACTTCTTCTATAGAACAATATTTATTTATGTACAAATAAACTAGCCAAAGATCATTAATCTTCATAGTTTATATAAATTTCTCAACTCAATCAAACAAATCCTATATCTATAATTTGGCTTTATTTTAACTTTTCTTTTACAAATACCTTCACTAATACTTTGATCTTTTATCTTCTTTTTATTCTAATCTATCTTTTTTTTTTAAGGGTAGAGTGTACGTAGATCATTTTTCATATGATCTCGATGGTACATTTTTTTTGTGTAACAAATTACATAGTAAACACAAATCTAATTGGGTAATTACCTGTTTTAGAAATATTTTTACTATGTTTTTTTGTGTAACCCCGGCAAATTTGAGAAATCCCCGGGAACTTTACGACATATGTATGTCTATTTTTTAAAAATAATATAGCCCCCGAAAGTTTTACTACTATAAATAGAAGGTTTAATTTGTATGTTACAAAATTTTGGTAAAATTTAACCATGGTTTTGAGAACTTTTACTAGTGACGTATTTTAATTTATGCATAAAATTCCGTTGTATCACTGAGATCATATGATAAATGATCAACATACACTCTACCCTTAAATTTCTTATACAAATAATCAACAAATTTATTTCTCTTACCAAATTAACTTTATACAACTTAATATCTATAAAATTACAAATTTAATACCTGGTTTTATCACATTTACTTCCTTCACATTATCATCCTTATTAACCTTTTACTTCTTTAAACTTTCTTACAATCAACTCAAGTTCTATTATAATCAATTACAAATTGACTGTCAAGAGATTTTAGCTTTTATTCATATTAATAATCATACACTAGTTTCAACTACTTTATTACCTCAATCTTAATTAAATATTCCTCTCTATAAAGTTCAATCTACTTACCAAAATCAATTAATTTAACCCTTTCACCTTATAAATAACCTTAATCACAACAGTTTAGAATTTTATACAGATAGCTTTATTAAAAATATCTAACTCCAAATATTTAAATTGGTATAGAATGAGTTTGCAAATCTCATACCTCTATCTGCTTTAATGCCAATACTTATTCATACCCTGACTCTACTCGTATTGAACTAGAAGTAATCTTTAGTCTTCTTCTTGCTTTGCCATCTAACTCTTTTATTAATATCTATATTGATAACAAAACTGCAATTAAGAATCTACAATCTACACTTCTTACCAAGCTTATACAAAACAAAAATTAGGATATTATCTTTTCTATAAACTATCTTAAAAATACTAAAAACATCAATACACAACTTCACAAAGTCAAATCTTATTCTAATAATTTTTTTCACAATCAGGCTGATTTACTTGCTAAAAGAGAATGTTTCAAAGCAAATATTTTCTTTTCTTTTCCATTCCTTCCAAATTACTTTTTATAAAATAAACACCTAATACTATTCAAAATGCATACTTTTATTAAAAATACTATTGCAATTCAAAACCTCTCAAAATAGTCTATGCTAAAGTTTATCAAAAACATTTCAAAAATTAAATAGACTTTAAACTTCAAAATATATTTTTTTTGTAGTCAAGGTTAGCCTCTTCAGCTTATCACTTTTATTAGACTATAGAATCATGTGATGCTCTTCAAAGAGACTCTAGACAAGTACATTTTGACGAGAGTATATTTTAGCCATACCTGCGCCTTTTGAGCACCTAATTTAAGTAGTCTGCCTAGGGTGGTTGGCAAGGTCATTTAGAACCTTGCCTGCTTTGCCAAATTTTTAATAGCTTGCCAATATAGTTGGCGAGTAATGGCAAAGGTGACGAGCTTTTTATACATATATAGCTATATATACATATATAAATATATACAGTCGACCCCCCTAAATGCAACCTCTCTAAGTGCATAACTTCTCTAAATGCATATAAATAATCTGGCCTATTAACGGGCTTAATAAATAAGTGCATATTCTTTATTCTGCAAATATATATGATTTTTTTGGCCCGCCTATATAAATCTTTTTATAAATGCATATCACGTGATCATGTTTGCATATAGGCTAATCAGAGCAGGATAAAATCGAACGAAATGCAATTTCCAATTTTTTTTTCTTATTTGGATTATTTATTTTAAATAAGCTTAACATAATTTTTATTGAAATTCTAGGTTTTAAACTTAGTGATCAATTGCTTCAATTTCAAAAAAACTTTACGCATATAAAAATCATATTTCTCAAAAATAATACGAATGAATTTTTAGAGAGGCACCAATTATCGAATGTATAAATCATAATGATATTGTAGTACACAAATAAGATGCAAAAAAAAACCATATGGGCCAATTAGCGTATATTGGACCTTGAATAAAGACATTAAGTTTAGTCTAAACCTCTTAATTAATTTTTTTAATTGGTCTGACGAATGATTAGAGTAATTGTTTTGATTAATTGAGGGTTCGGATAATTGCATTGTTAAATAACCTGTTACATCATCAAAAGTTTTAGGATATGGGGTTCTCTCTTCCGCATAGAGTCACATATTTGCTATATGCTTGAAAAATTATAGCATATTAGTAATGATATGGATAACCAGATCCATATGACACAAGCCCTATTTTAAAAACTATCCCAGACTAATCAGTTATAATTCATATTCTAATTCTAATTGTATAACACTAGTTCTGTTATTTTTTTGTATCATATAGATCCCATTACCAATACCATACTGATATGTAAAATATCAAATTTGACTGCATAATTAAAAAAAAAAGAACAATACGATATGAATTCAAGACAATAGGGAATGCATATTTATGCATTAATGCATCTACATATCGCATGTTTATACTGTCAAGTTTCTTTGTCGCCCTGGACTTGAATCCAATTCTTTTGTCGCCCTGGTCCTAGATCAAATTAGGTACAAACTAGTATTTTAAGACTTGTAAATTTTAATAAAATACAAAATAAATAAATAAAATAAAATAAAATAAAATAAAATGCGAATAAGCAAGTGATGTATACCTATTTTCTCTTCTAAAACTAGCAGCTGAATAATTGATTACCGTATCATTGTAATTTTTTTATACTTACTGTTAAGCAATAACCTGATTTTGTTCTAACAAATATGCTAAATCCATAGCTAATTTTATCATGCAGTAATGTAGGATATTTAAGTTATATCATTGGTTCAATTATGCTGTTATCTCTATAAAACATAATATCATAATGTTAGCTTTAAATATAGATCATATTCTTTCAGTAAAACGAATGCATAACTTATCTTAATTATTATGATTTCGATATTAATATATAAATTACAAGAAAAGCTCTTTGTCTTTAAGCATCGCATGATAATGCAATAGCCTCATCCTATTGTTGTGAATAATAAATTAAGTTATTTTAAATAAGCTAAATAAATAATTAAATTATAAAACCAAAGAGAAAAACGCTTACCCACCTATTAAGCCTTAATTAATTAAAAAATCAAAATGTTATTCATAAAATCTAAAGAAACTAAAACCACTCTTACCAATAAGCAAAGAAAAGCTATCATTGAACATAAAGAAAAAAATACTAAAATTAGCCAGGTTGATCTCGTCAATTGGATTAAACAAACAATGGGTCTTAACATTCATCAAAGCACCATTAGCCGTCTATTAAAAAATAAGCAAACGATTAAAGAAAATTCCTCTGCAAAAAGACAGAGAACAGTTCAATATCCAGCGCTTGAAGATACATTGCATGAATGGATTTTACAAAGTCAAGCTAGTGTAATATTATCTGATGAAATTATAATAGAAAAAGCAAAACAATTTGCTAAATTATTAAACATACCTGAGAGTGATTTTAAGTTCTCGCATAGCTGGCTTTACAAGTTCAAAAAAAGGCACAGTTTAAAACAAATAAAAAAACATAGAGAGGATGCTTCTGTCGATGATGCTGTCGTTGATGCTGCTATTCCACGGTTAAGAGAAATTTTAAAAGAATACAACCTAAAAGACATTTACAATATGGATGAGACAGGCTTATTCTATCAGTATTAATAAATTAGACTGTATTAATTAATACTCACCTTAATTAATTCGTTCTTGTTATTATTTTGCATTTTACCTTTTTTTTCTTTAATTTTCATTTTTTTAATTTTTAATTTTATTATTATTTTCTTTTTAACACAAACTGGCATGTTATAACCTATTCTTTATTTTCATCTCTTTTTTCTTATTTTTTATTTTATTTTTTATTTTCGTTTTTTTTTTTTCTTCTTTTCTTTTTCTGTTTTTTATTTATTATTATTATTTTTTTTTAAAGTCTAGAACCAGACACTACGCAAGCAACCGTTCGTCTTAAGGGAAAAAAAAATATAAGAAACATTTAACCTTAGCATTTCGTGCCAATGCTGATGGGACAGATAAAATGATGCCATTTGTTATTGGTAAGTCGCCCAATTCATGTTGCTTTAAATCTATCAAACATCATAGTCTTGGTGTTATGTATGATGCAAGTCAAAACGCATGGATGACAAGTTTATTGTATCAAAAATGGCTTAAAAAATTTGACTTAAAAATGGCTGATCGTAAAGTAATTTTTTTAATTGATGGTGCAAAATGTCATTCTTCTGGTAATTTAAAACTTTGTAATACAACTGTCCACACTCTTCCCCTACATACAACATCCCGTATACAACCTATAGATGCTGGAATTATAATGTCCTTTAAACGTCGCTGTCGAAATTACTTTATAAAATGGTTACTTGATCAATACGAATCTGGAAGTGATGATAAAATAGATGTCCTTACCGCTATAAAATTTATTGCTCAATCATGGAAAGAGGTATCATCAGATACAATACAAAATTGTTATAGGCATACAGGAATTCTTCCAGTTGTTCAAGATGATGAGATTACCTGTGATGATGACGATGATAATGACAATTTGATGGAGGAATTGTATAATAATGTAGAAATGCTCAACTTTCAAAATGTAATGGATCTAGAGGAATATATTAATTATTCAGAAGAAAAAAATATAAGCAGAATACTAAGTGACTAGGAAATTATAAACCAAATTACATATCCAGATCCTGAAACTGCTGAAGATAATGAGGAGGGTGATAAGGAAGATGATAGTATAGAATTACCCCAAGTTAGTCACAAAGAAGCATCAGATGCTATACATTTATTAAAGTTATATCTCATGCAACAGGACCTTAGTAACGTAGCTCATACAGAACATGACACAGCTTTATTGAAGTTGTCTGGGCTAGTAAGGAAATTACAGAATGCTTCATTCAAGCAACTAACTATAGAAACTTTCTTTAAGTCGGCTATGTAAAGTATGTATATAATAAAATATTCTTTCATATATTAAATTCAAACCTTCATTTAATGTTGCTTTTCTATCTTCGAAACCCCTAAATTAAACAACTTGAAAGTCAATGCTAATTCAACAAAAAAATTAAATCAAAGCACCAGAAATGATAATTGCTCAAATTAAAAGAAGATAAAAAAAAAAAATAAAAAAAAAACTCTTCTATTCGGCTTGTCTAACTTAAACATAATTTAGATTCATTTTGAATCTTACTATAGCCCATAAGTTCTATGGTAAAATCTATTACAGTAAAACAGATTGATAATTCGTTTAGTTTTTTTTCTATAATTAAAAATAAGAGTTTTAAACTCAAACAATATAACCACTTAGTTAACTGTGAAAATACGTATTCACAATAGGGTTAGATCTTACCTTCATTTTTCTTATAAAATATAGATCGTGCAATTTTAATAAAATGTACCGGTAGATCGTACTATTTTCTGTTTAAAGGCAGTAACATGTTCAATACGTTTAATATGTATTATGTAAATTAATTAAAGGCAAAATCTAAATAATTACTTGGGGTACAAACGAACTAAGTGAACCGAAATTAAAGGCAAAATCTAAATAATTACTTGGAGTACAAACGAACTAAACGAACCGAAACTATTAGGTGCTAATAAAACTTTCGGATCTTAATTTCGACGGAAAGTTCTTTTTTTATAAAATGCTTGTTAAAAAAAAAAACTAGATCAATAAGATTCGCTTTAATATATAAAAAAATAAAGAGAAATTAATGAGGTAGATTAACCAAAAGTTAAAATATTATTAGCTGATAATCCAAGTACATGATTTATATACTCTGTAATGCTATTGGTTATTTCTTTAAATACAACCCTCCCTAAATGCATACTCTGGAGTTGGTCCTAACGGTATGCATTTAGGGAGGGTCGACTGTACTATATATAGTATATCTGATATTTTTTTTAAACAATTTGATTTTTTTTTTGATATCTTTATAGCAGAATTGTGATAAGTTAGAAAATTTATTATTAAAAAAATTTTAGATTTATAGTATGATATTTAATATTAATAATCATATACATATTATTTCTATTTTCAAATTATATGTATAATATAATTAATGAATTTTATTATCATTTGTTTTTATAATATATAGTAATGGGATTTGGGCCCTATAGCTTAGTGGTTAAGCTGCCAAACCCCCACAGACTAGGTCGACAGTTCAAGTCAGGCTGGAGGCAAAATCTTAGGATTTTTAGCTTCTGTAATCCAATAGGGGGCCATAATTGAATACAGAGCCCTGTAGTTAAATCCAAGTGCAAGTACGAAACCGAAAAAGAAAATTACCGGAAGAAGATCTAATCGTGGAGTAGTGGCACTATGTATGACTGGTCATAGAAGGTTCTGTTATATGAAAGGTTGCGCATGTTAGTCCTCGATTAGAGGTGACCAGGGCAGCACCAACATCACCAGTGGTTGGAGTACTTGATTGAGAGAGTGATATGACAGTAACAAAACTGGAGTAGTGAGAAAAGTGGTGAACACAAGAACGACTTGTGATAAAGGATTAGTCTATTCGGAGTTCAGAAGCACTTCTGGCTCCAAGCCACTTGGCCTATTAAGGAAGAAACCTGTGAGGACAGAGCGAGAAGGCTGAAACTCGGGGTATGTGATAAAAACTCGAAATGGCTGGATTCACCGGGCTGGTAATACAATTGTACAAATCGGGCTTGTATACCAGAAATTGATAAGGAACACCAAATACTGAAATTAGAAATATTACGGACCACAAGCCGCAACTAGGTCTAGACCCCTAGAGCTCTGTAACCTAAAATATCAGGGTACTGAAACACCATAGCTCAAACTATGGAAAAGAAATAATATGAAACCCACAATCTGGAAGTTATGGGGTAACCTATAACGCAATACAGTGAGCCTGCACTAACACACGGGAGTATCTATTTATAAAGGTAATGGGAATCGGCAGCATACTAACTAAACTAGGCGTTAATGACGAGGCTTAATCTGGACCAGCATGAGTTTCTCTTCGTGATACTACCTGGGCAGACTAGCTAAAGATAACCAAGATTGGAAGTAGCCCTTGAGGCTACGAGACCATATCCCAGAAGGGACTACCAAATTTGGGAGCTTAGATATAAGTGATATGAAAGATGCGGGAAATGACGTCATAGAGAAGTGTACCAAAATAGAATTAGTGAAGGGTGGAAAAATACCAGGTGAGTGCTATCCATAAAGACATACCACTCCGGTAGGTTTGGATCACAGATAATGGATCAGTGGCCAGATAGCGGATGGAGACACCTATCGCGCAAGTGATGGTTTCGGCCAGAGTGTAGGTAACCAATAGGATCCGGATCTGAGCTTGGTGTACTTGATATATGTAAAAATACGAAAATGTAGTAATACATATAATGAAAGTATTAACATTAAATAAAAGTCATAGGCAAGATCCCACCTGAACACCAAAAAAAAAAAATATATATATATATATAAATTTAGATGTGATTTATCATATGACTGATATTGTTTTTTAACACTTCATTCCAAATTTGGTTTATATTTAAAAAATTTGATAAACTTAAACTCTCTATTAGTATAATTTAATATTCTAAAAAATAAATATGAACTATTTGAAGAATTGTTTCACAAAAGCTTTTTAGCAAAAAATCTGTTTTTTATAATTATTATATAAATCTGCTTAATTTGTAAGATCTGTAAATACTTAGTTTTAATTATTTGGCTGTTATACAAAATTAATTGTTAAACAAAGCAAATGTGTCTTGTATGAATTATAATGTTTTTAATTACATATAATATTAGAGCCAGTGCAGATTATAAATGCAATAATAGAGAATGCAAAAAACAATAGAAAAGAACTGTAGCTAGTTTTACAAGATATGAAAAAGGTTTTTGATTTAGTATCTTTTAAATCATTAGAATTAGCAATGAGAAGGCTCAAGATTCCTCAGATTACAATTAGGTTTATTCTTAATCTATTTAAGAATAGATAGTCAAAGATTATTACAAAGCTAGGGACAATGCAACGCTTTAAAATAAATGATGGTATTGAGCAAGGAGAAGTGATTTCACCACTAGTGTGAAGAATTTTTACAATCTACTTTTGTCTAGGATTAATGAGAATCCAAATTTAGGGTATACACTATCTCAGCAGATCTTATATAACTATAGCTCATTAGTAAATTTTTTAGAGTAATAAGTATCAATTATAATCTAAAGATATTAATTGATTAGTAACACCACTATTATAAACAATTGATATAGATTAGAAATTGATGATAATCATATATATAATAAAATTGATATAGATAAAAATTAATAGTTATCATTAATATAATAAATATTGATAAAAATTAATATAGATAGAAATCGATAGTTATCATTTGTGATAAAAATCGATTAGATAAAAATCAATAATTATTA